GAATCGCTTCTATAAGTTTTTAGATTTATAACTAGTATTGCAAAGGGTAACTGATTAAAAAGTTTTAATAAAACGAAAATAAAAATGTTTACTTAATATATCGTCAATTCGAAACTGCTTTGTTTTGCATTGAGCTGTGACGCGAGTTTGCCGGAGGTAAAAGTTGTGCTGGACAGCGATCCTATAAGTGACGATATTAGATTTCATTTTAAATTTTTTTTGCCGAATTGTGTCGTAAAATTATACATCCATAAATTTAACTGCACATCACTATTGATATAAAATATACGTCAATTAGCTCCTTCAACGTAGTTATGAATTAATACGAAACTTGATGAGTGGACAAAAGTCAAAACGGCCATCATAGCGTGCCGGTACTATAAAGTAAATTAGTCTAGCAGTACCAAATTTGAAGTCAATCGGAAAAGTGGAAATAAAATAAATATCCAGTTTATGACTGAGATCCTACGCTAACTGGGAAAATCACTGATGGTATTAAAACAGCTGAGCAGCTGTTCATCAAACGTAGCTAAGATCCATCCCGATTATCGACCTTAAAACCGTTTTAAGGTTGGTCGATTTAAGCATAAAAAAATATCGAGTAATTTCATTCGTAGATTTAGCTGGTTTTTTTTTGTAATACCAAGTGGCGGGACGAACAAGTCGTGCGCCTGGTGGTGAGCGACACGCCTATCCATAACAGTTGTAGTGCCATTCAGAGCTTTCAATCGCAAAGATCTTATGGACACTGATACTGCGCCCGTCACCCTGAGACATAGTTGACAAGGCCCATTTCACCAGCACCCTTACCCTTCGAACTGCTACCAAAAGGGCCGGATCGGGACCGCGGCGGGTCTAACATTCCCAGTCCCGCACACGCGCTCCGTGTGTTGTCGTCCATATAAATAGACACGGATTTGGGCCTAAGGGTCGTATTCCAGAACTCTACTCAATACTCAAGTCAGGACTTGAGTATTGCAGTGAGCACTGAAAATCATACTCAAGTCCTTGCCATTAGGGTCGTATTTCCAGTGTTTGAAATCATACTCAAGTCTGCTCAAATCCTGACTTGAGCATTGAGTAGAGTTCTGGAATACGACCCTAAGTGTCGTATTCTAAAACTCTACTCAATGCTCAAGTTAGGATTTGAGTATGGTTTAAAGCACTTGATATCATACTCAAGTCCCTGCCATTAAGGTCGTATTTCCAGTGCTTGTGTTTCAATTGCAATCCTTACTTGAGCATTGAGTAGAGTTCTAGAATACGACCCTAAGTGTGTTTCACGATTAAACCTGTATTCTGAAAAGTTATCATTTTGCAGATCTGGCCTTATTTTATCAAGCATGCTAATATTATTGCATTATAGCGTACAAAACGCGCTTTTGGGTAATGCAGGACTCTTAAGTGGCAATAAAATGTGGTAACTCCTAAAGCAAGCCAGGTGGAGGTCGTGGACGGCAAATACGATTAATCGTTGTTAATCTTCCGAGGCCTTGACGATGAGGACGGGCGTAACTCGAATTTAATTACCGGCAATGCTTTAATTAGGGATTTTCACTGCAGGGCTGTCAGCCTCGATTCGATGTGTTTTATTTCGTTATAGAGAAAGTCTGTTGTTGTTTGATGTTATTTAGAAACGTGTGCTAAATGTATTTTAAATTTAATTTTGGAATTTGTAGCAAATTGCGGCAGTCGCTAATTTCTTGTTCTTTACGCGTTTATTATCTTTTTAACAGACTTCAAAAAAAAGGTAGAGGTTCTCAAACCTACTGTATTTTTTGTATGTATTTTACGCGATCACTCTGGCATTTGTGAACCGATTTCGATGATTCCTCATTGGTCCCGTTTAAATTTGAAGGGAATATTCCACCTCTAAGGGTGATGATAACTAGGTGACGAATCCGGTTTCGCGTACTTTCCAGTAACCGATTTCGATAAATTTTGGCAAACAGAGGCAATTCCACGAACTTTTCAAGTGGTTTTTTTATCCTTTTTAATCTTTCTAAATTTAGCTTTGCCTATTTTGACGTTTTTCGTATAATGTTATACGAAAAATTACACAATAATTTGAAATTAAATTAAATATTTATTAACAATAAAATTCGCAACTCCAAAGGACTCTTTGACTAAATTGGAAAAGAACTTTTAAAAAAATTATTACAGACAATGGAACCGTGCGTTAGGTTTTATACAATGGCGAAAGTAATAAACACAATTAGATTTCAAAGTCATATAGGCTATACGTTTAAGACTGGTCAATACATATATAAATAATTGTTGTACAATAAAAAGTGTTAGACTGAAGCTCAATTTACCAGAGGATACCGGTCTAAGATAAGGCTTACTGTCTCAGTTGCTTTATATATTTTATCTACTTTTATTTACTCATGATTGGTGCTAAACAATAACCATTTTACTTACATGATCGATAATATTTACTTTGAGTTCAAAGATACTCTTTATTCTCATTAAGACAATTGTCACTTACACGAGTACTTAAAAACTAATCAGTAAATTAACAATATTCCAGTCTAAGCTGTGGCTACCATTGGATACAAACATAAGTTGAGAGTTCAACTGTTTACAAATTTAAATTATTATTATACATAATCTCAGTACAGAGTACTAAAAAAACCGACCTCAAAAGTACGTGGAATTAAGTATATTTGCTAAGTTTTATTGAAATATCCCCTAGTTCGCCACTATACAGGACTTGACACTGGAGATAATAAAAATCGGTTCTCACTACTCAAAGTATATTGGGAGAAAAACGCCTTGAATTGGAGAAATAGTAAAATCAACCATTAAAGTAATTGCTCCTAAATTAATGTTAGGCGCTATTTATGAAAATGAATCTTCATGCGTGAGCAGCCACCCTTCGAGGTGGATGATTTTCTTCAAAATTAAATGGGACCACTATGGAAGTACCCCCTTCCAACAAAAAAAGAATCATGAAAATCGCTTCACAAATACCGGAGTTATCGCGTAACATACATACAAAAAAAAAAGAACATACAGTCGAATTGAGAACCTCCTCCTTTTTTGAAGTCGGTTAAAAATAATCTTTATTTCAGTTGTGAATGGTCGTGAAGAATATGTTTATACAATTTCGATTTAAGTAAATAAATTAAATAACTTCTAATCCTTTACATCTGAGGGCAGTTTGTTAAAGATTTGCACTTCTTCAAAACCAACCACCTCTTGATCACGAACATTTATGAGATGATAAAGAGTACTACCACTTAATCTGAATGCCTACAGGCATGTAAGATCATAAAATTGGTCATATAATAGTCGTTTAGATTGATTATCCAAGCTAACAGCTTAACAGCTAGCAGCTAAACATTTTAGTATCAGTAGAACTCCTTGTTAAAGAGTTTGTCCAGGGAAGTACCGCCACCTTACCTATTCCTGCCGCCAAGCAGTAACGTGAGCATTACAGCGTTCCGGTTCGGAAGGGCAAGGGAAATTACAGGTACATGGAACTTGTGAACTTATGTCTCTAAGTTCTTAGCGATTTAAAGCTCAGTGTCACTGCAATTGCTTAAAGAACATTACTAATTCGATACGAAAAGAAATATGCCCCGTTGCTACCTCTGACAACCGTCGACAATAAAAGATTATCTAATTTTGCTTAAATAAATCTTTCAAAGGATTTCTTACATTAAGTAGATATGAATGACGCAGACGCCTGAAAATGGAGTAATTTTGAAAGGAAGCCATTCACGTGGAACCGTGAAACACGTGCAAGGTTTAAGGTCAAAGGGATGTTGGCACGACTGCGCTCTAATGAACGATCGATCATAAGTTTCTCCGAAGCAATACATAATGCAATTTGTTGGCAAGACTCACTGTTGCCATTTTAAAGGATGTGGGAGTGTGTAATATCGGATTTGCCAGTGTAAATTTTATGAACTTGTTTTAGCTTTCACATTTGTCTGAAACCTTTAAACTAGAAACTTGATGGTTTACTGTTTGGATGAAAATAACGCCCATCTCGTAAACTGAAGTGCTCTTAAAGGGTACTTATGTCACGCGGTTGGCTGGCACCACCACAGGTTGTAGGCTTTAGTGTAGCCTTGAGAGCCCAGATGACGTCCTTGTAAAGGGTTATCATTAACTTTCTTGATGTATTAGGAACTGTTACAGTGGCTTCGACATTTTGAACACAAAAATGTGTGTGATATAGGTATGTGCACAAACACGTTACATTGTTATGAAATGTACTTAAGAAAATTTTGACATTTAATAAAATATAAATTTACTAGACAAAAGCACGTTGTGACGACGGAACGAAGCGAAGTAAAAATGACGAAGAAAAAAAATTAGAGAACGATTCAAAATTTCAAAAGTAAGTGGTCAGGAACCAGAGAAAAGTGTGTTAA